AAAATGTATCGTTAATGAAACTAGAAAATTACGGTCATTTAATAAAATTCAGTTTTATCTACGAAATAAAACTATGCAAATGAATGCACTGGGAAGGTAAAACCCTGTATTATCTTTACCATCCCATTTTATTTGAAGAGAAATGGAATAGAACAAGCTTCATTATTTCCACTGAACGGAATATTTTTTTTATAAATATGATACCCTCTATTTTATAAGTAACATTTTTTAATTAGTTCACATTTGCTTTGTTTTTCTCATACTTACAATGACAAAAATTGTGTTGTTTGCGGTCAGGGTTTAGTGTTGTCTTTGATACAGTTATATGATACGTCTAATGAAAGATGTCTACTCCACCGGATGTGTGCAGTGAGCCTTAAGCGACTGCCCATCAAAAATTCCCTTCTAAACATATTACGCTGTCAATCTAACTACTAAAGTAAATCTGCCTGGCGTTCCTTAAAAGAGCAGCACTAAAACTATCTAATGTGAAGAAAGCACGTACAATATTGGAATTTATCACGCAAAAACTTACATTGTAAATTGTAAAATATTCTTTGTACAAACATATATAGTTTTTTGTTTCATTTATCGGTTAAACATTTGTCGAAAAATTATTAAACTTGCTTTTTAGCCAAACAAACTTTAAACGCGAATATGTCAAACAGTACTCATTATAGTGTTAAATATAGAAATAAGCTATCTTGGGAACAAAGAGGCGTAGGTGGTTTCTCCCTTTTTGTAAATTATCGTCAAAATAAGCTCTATTTAATGCAAAAAGAGCGAATTTCCGAGCTGCACGTCTTAATTTGTTAGTTGTAAAGGGCAACTTAATTTCAACTTTTTGAAATTTTTCTTTTTCGATACGTTTCCTTGGATCAATTAGAACCTATATCTACGATACTAACTACTAAAATTAACGTTTAGTAATTAAACAAGTAGTTGAAAAAAAAAACGAAATTAATTAACAAATAACTGGAGCAATAATTTCAGTGTCAATTGAATTAATTTTTTTGTTAGTATCACTCTACAAACCATCCCCCGTCAGAAGGTGCAATAAAATGTCTACTAATAATTTTTCAGGTTTTACGATCTAATTTGACTGGACATATTACACAGTAATCCAGTTTTGGCTACCAATTTTTTCGGATGAAATGGATTGACGTGAAATTTGAACTGTAGCTAGGAAACAGCCCAAGAAACAAATTCTACCCTAGGGGTGGATGCCACCCCTTTTGGAGGGTGGGAATTCTTTTAATAGAATAACCTCACGATTCCATAGAGTGACGAATTCTAAGCAAAACGTGTTCTATAAGAATTTTTTGTACAGTCAATACTTTTTGAGTTATTTTCTCCTAAACATGTTCGTTTTGAGCCCAAAAAATATATATTTTTAAGCCATTTTTCGCGAATATCTCAAAAACTACTACTACTAAGTTTTATCAAAAAAATTATCATAAGCAAAAATAAAAGTAATTAAATAGCAAAGAGCTTGCTTTTTTTTTATTTTTGTAGATGGTAGGTACAGAACCCGAGTTATGACTCCCGTCAATTTCGAAGATAGCTATAATAGAAACGTTCAACGTCCTGTAGCGGAAAAATTAAAGGTTTTTCGATGAAAACTTATATAACACCTATTAAAGTTCTTGAAAAGACCTTTAAATTGAGTGGTGGTAGAAGGCGTTAGCATGAAAACTAATGAAGTTACAATCAAAATAAAATGATTGTCTTGATTTTTAAGTAAAAAAAATCGTTATTAAAATCAATGGCTTGACGGAAAAAAAATTAAACGTATTCTATTTGTAATTTATTTTATTTATATATTAACAGTAGATTATGGGAATTTGAACGATTTTAAATTTAAAAAAATTTTGCATTTACTTTTGAATAAAATTGTTCAATTTTTTAAAAAATCGCCCTTTTTCAAAATATTTTAAAAATTAACAAAGTTATAAAAGAACTTAACGTGCTTTAAATAAAATGTTTTTTTGTGTAAATTTCTAACTTTAAAATTACAAGTTATGATAAAAAAATTAATCGAATTTATTTGGTAAAATTTTCGGTACGGGTAAATTACCATCATCTTTGTGTATTTTGGAACACTTGTGAACTGAGTTGAGTAAGTATTTTAATAATATACATACAAACACGTATCCATTTATATTGCATATATTTTTTTTTTATTTTATATAAATTAATAAAAAAATACATATTAAGAAAACCTAAATTCAATAAAATTGAAAAAGTTAATTATATCATCATACTCACATATAATTTTTAGGAAATTTTTCTATAAGGGGTAGGGTTTTTTATGAGGGGTAGGTCTTCCATAAGGGTTTTTTGGGTGGCTGAAAAATTGCAATATATCATAGATAATTTGAAAACCAATAAAAAGTTTATAATTCAACATATGCATACCATTAAAACATCCTAAGCTTTCAAAAATATTTTATTTTATTATAAGGGATGGTTTTTAAGGGTTGCAACTTTGTAATGAGTCGTAAGCTTTCTAATGAATAACAAAAGGAATGCAATAGTTAGTCCGGATTCCGGAATACGGCTGAATTAAAATTTCCGCAAACCTTGTATTATGATCATTTGAATGTGTTCGAAATTTATTTAAATTTCGACGTATTTCTTTAAGTGTTTCAAGAATGTAGATACATCGAGGCAGCGGAAGTATGCCCAATTCATTGTGAATGCTCCAAAAGAATTTTTTATACGACTGCCTTGCAAAAGGGGGTTTTGCACACGGAAAACATTTTGCACACGGTTATGTCATCTTTGCACACGCGTCTCCAGATTGTGATTTTTGTTTGATGTTGTAACCCAAATTATGCAATGTTTGAAGTTGGCTGAGTTTCATAGCAACCGTCACGGCTCCTTTATTTTGTTGATTAGATACTTCAAAAATTGTTGAATTCCCGAAGTTTGGGTGTGAAAATGTGTGATTCTGAAGAGATTTTACAGAAAGCAAGCGAAATATGTTCGGAACTGCTGCCCACAAAATCCAGAAGCAGGTATGAAGCTGAGTTAAGCCGATTTATGGACTGGCGACTAGCCAAAAATGTCCAAACTTTCTCAGAAAACGCAGTAATGGTGTATTTTGAAGAACTATCTAAGAAATATAAATCTTCGACGTTGTGGACGATTTTTTCGATGCTCAAGTCAACGTTAAGTGCCAATCACAACATAGATCTTGGAAGCTATAAAAAGTTGCAAGCGCTAATCAAACGAAAATCCGAAAACTACGTCCCAAAGAAGTCCCAAATCCTCACAGAAGATGATTTTTGCCGGTTTTTGACGAAAGCATCAGACGACAAATATTTACTTATCAAGGCGGTGGTGGCAGTTGGACTATCTGGGGCATGTCGAAGGGAGGAATTATGTTATCTCAAAATAGAAGACACCAAAGATTTCGGCAGTGCTATGCTGATTAAACTGAAGAATACAAAAACAAAGGTACCAAGGTGTTTTACAATTACAGGAAACCTTTACACTATCTTAAAAAAGTACTGTGCTCTTCGTCCTCCTAATCTGAAGACAGGCAGGTTTTTTTTAAACTATCAAAACGGAAAATGTTCAAGCCAAAACGTTGGCATCAACAAAATTGGAAACATGGCTAGGGAAATCGCCAAGTTTTTGATGCTAGAGAATCCAGAAAGTTACACGGGACATTGTTTTCGGCGTTCATCGGCCACAATTTTAGTCAATTCTGGCTCAAATCTGCTTGCCCTCAAACGCCATGGAGGGTGGAAATCCAGTACAGTTGCCGAAGGCTACGTTGATGACTGTTTGAGAAATAAAATGGAAGTTTCGAAAAAGATAGAGTCTTCAGTGTCTTCTGCTGCCACAGAACCAGAACAACGATCGTCTACTGGAATACAACAAGAAAACAACGACCGCACGCTGAAAAACTGCACTAAAAACACGACACCAAAAATATTCTCTATTACCGAAAACAAGGTGCACAATAATACTGCTTTTCCCAGCGTAACCTTGAAGGAATGTTCAAATGTTACCATAAATATTAAATATTAGTTTCTTTTGTTAATGCGTTAGCAATTTTCTTAATAAAACCGAATTAAATTAAAAGTTGTATTTAATTTATTTTGTTAATGCGTTGGCAATTTTAGTAATAAAAACGATTTAAATTAAAATTTGATTTTTGTGGTCTCTGTTTGCAGTCGTATAAAAAGTATTGTAAAAAACTCGTTTGAAAACGACTCTTTGCACACTCGCTCGACTTGTGGTCCACCAATATGTCTCGCTCGTGTGCAAAGAGTCGTTTTCAAACCTTGTTTAATATACTATTAAACTGTTAAAAACATTTTTATCTTTTTTATTTGTCATGGAAGGTTAGTTTTTAAAGATTTTTAAGAGTTGAAAAGTAATTAAATTTCATAAATTATATTAAAAAACATGAAAGGAACTTTATCCAACATGTTTGAACATGAACTGAATCTTTAAAATACGTAACGATTTTCGCATTTTTTTCGTGCAAGGGTATTTTTCACCCCCAAACAGAAAAAAACACACATCTAGACAATATAACTTTTGAAGTGGGGGGTCAGATGAGCTTGTATGCAAATTTTCAGGAAAATCAATGCTATCCGAAAAAATTGGGAGCTTTTACTTTATTTTCACCTTCAGTGTCTGGACTACAGTTGACGCTTTGAAAAACTCTCCCGTTTTTTTCAAATATTTCGTTCCAAGTTGACTTAAAAATCAAATGTCGCATTTGCTGCAAATGCTTCCGTACCACCAGCAAGATTCTTCTTCTCATTCTTATTCATACAAAGCACTATCGCCTGAAACCCGATCTAAATAGCTAAAACACCGACATTTCCGAATCGGAGAGTTTTTACCGTCCACGGCTGTACCGTCCACTCGCTGCGTCGTCGGAAGTGACAGTCCGACAGTCATTGAAATGTCAAAAAGCGTCGTCGAGCAGCAGCAGCGGCAGTGCCATCACAAATTGGGCCGTAACAAATAAAATAGCTCGGATGTTTACGGCGAGCAGACAATAAGCCAGTTAGTTACAGGACCAAATACAATACAAGTACGTGTACAGTGTGTCTATAGTGGGCAGTAGAGCCGATGTGTGTCGTCGGCCGCAGCGAAACCAGTGCAGGGGCGGGGGTCATCTCATTCAATCCAGAAGAACTGCGCTTCCACCATGGACTTCGAGACGCTGGCAGCAGGTAAATAACCACCCCGGCACCGCAGGGGCCACCCCGGAGGCTGGGGATGGCGCGGGACCCGCTTTCGTAGCTCATAGTTAAATTCCGTGGCTAAGTGAATGATTGTCCTCCATACGTTCGCAATAGGCTCCGTTTCCTAATCTAGTTCGACTAAAACGACGTGTTTTTTTAAAGAATAGTGTGAAGTAACTGAGAAGGGTGCGAGGGAAATCTTCCTTCCGGTCGTGGCAGACGCGGTTGGGTGTTCAATCCGTCGCCACGGACTTTGGATAGATTTTTCTAGGACAATCGCTATTGTTCGCCACTAAACCGCTTCCCGTCTTGTAATTAACGTAGAATCTTCGCTCGGCGTGGTGCAACCGCCAAAACTAAACTTTATTTTGAGGTTATATTGCTTTGTTTAATAGGCCCTGATCGTTTCACGGGAATAGGTACACTTTTTTTAAATAATGTTACGCAAGAGGCATTTTTACTAGCAACAAATTGTTATTCGAGTTTAAACGCAATACAATGGTGCCCTACTGTGTTAGTAATTTAGTGTTCTTCAAAGCGTGATAACGCGTCTCTTCGTCTTTGTTAGAAATGCTTGTTTTAGAGGATGTTGTTCTGTTTTTGTTGTCAAATTTGACAGAAATTGGTTAGCGATTTTTTTTATTAAAACTCTGACTACCCCACTGACTTTTACATCCCACCAATTTCGAAAAAAAATGTTCATTGCTAATTTTAAAGTTCATATCAATGGTTTTTATCATTTTGGTATCCTAAAGGTGCAAGTAAACTATGAATTCACAAATGAATTAAATAAACACAAAATTATAAATAAATTAAACAATTTGTACGGTTTTACGTACAATAAAGTTCATTTGTTACTCTAATGGCTTGTTTACACGGGAACAGTCAACTAAATTTTAAGTCACTTGAACCTATTTGAACAGCGCATATGTGGTAAGTAACAAGTTATGGAGCAAGTAAAAATTTAGTACACTGGAATAGAATTTATTCTATTTTTTCGTGCAAGTTGACGACTTGCACCGAACTTTTCCCTCCTGCTGATCCACTTTCGCTCCCAAAGTCGTTTAGGTCTATTTTTCTCTTCATATATTTCTTCATTTATTTCTTCTAATATAATATTTAGGATATCGCGTAGTATGCCATTAAATTCTTCTACAAACTGCTGCCTCACGTTCATCTCGTCAGGTTTGCAAATATATAAACTGCACTAGAACTTACCAACAACTAAACTTAGAACTTACCAGTGCGAACAGCACTTGCAGAAAAAGCAGTAACTTAAAATTTAGTTACCACTTACGTACTGTCCCCGTGTAAACAAGCCTTTAGAGA